GCCCTACACCCTAAACCGGCTTGTTGCTTCCACTTGGACTGTGACATCCCCAAACCTCTTAATTCAGCCGTAACGCAGGCGTCTGTAGCAGGAGCACAGAAAAGTGAGGGGCCCCGGGTTCTTCTCTGTTCCAAGCCGGGATGATTCAATGGCTCTGCAAGATACACGCCTGAAATTAACAGGGGTCTTGTTTTCCACATGTGGTAGGTTGTCCAAATTCTGCTAACTTTCTGGCTTCGCACTGTACTACTCCCCCGACCCAAAAAGTGGAGCATCATTCTTACCACCCCGTAGATCTGGTAAGGTCGGAACTCGGAACCTAGGTGATATACGGTGCCCCGAGAGGCTTACTGAAACCAAGGCTTTCTCTGAACCCGCACCATCCACCAGGCTGTTTGCCTCCCACCCCATTTCACTGAATGCTGGCCCCGTACCTAAAACAAGCCCTCAGCTCTGGCATCTTCCGGATGTATCTAGACGATGATACGTACAAGAGCAGCCATGCCCAAGACATACTGCATGTTACTTTCGCAAGGATGCTGATTCAACTCAATTGTTCTTAAGCCCAAGAGGCTACTGCATCAACCTCGTTTCCGTCGCTGGGATGCCGCCATCGGGCAGCTGAGAGAGTGCGACGGAACCAGCCTTCGGGCGTTTTAGAGTAGCGCTTAGGGGTTGAGAAAGGGAAGGTGATAGTTTTGGTTGCATCTTGGCTCTTCGGCGGTGTAGATCTCTATGCCTGCATGACTAAATTCAATATTGATCAGGCATTCCAACCTTGGGCTGATCTCGTTGGAGCGGATAGAATTGCCACGGGCACTTTCGCAATATGAAACACCCGTTGAGAAGAAGTTCGTACATGCACATTGACACATTAGCTTCCTTTCGGGTCCTGTGGGTTTTCAGTTGGGGGCGGAAGCTATTGCACCTACTCATTCACGACCCCTGAAACGCCCCAGACCTCAGCTACTTGGTGGTTTACCTTAGCTGCGATCTGCTTGGTACAGATTATCATTACCATGATTATGCTACTATCCGCCCTAGCTAGCCATGTTTGCAAGCTGGCGGTAACTGTAGTTCCTGAAGCATTCCCAGGATCTCCGGGTGAGTCTGCAGCGCGACAGCCTCTATCAGATTATTCAATGTCTCGGTCGTTTTTTTCATGGCGCTGATATACTAAAATGCAGGGTTGCTGTTAAGGAGGTTAAATTACCATGCTATGGGTATATAGTAAATTGGTTTCCTGATTAAAGCCAACTTAATATGAGCAACCCAGAAGAAGAGTTTGGTAATCCACCATCTATGATAAGGACCAGTTGATTGTCATAGGGTCCGCATTCTGAGTTGGGCTAACCAACCTCCCTGGTTGTAGTGGATAGCATGCCAGTTTTCAGGTTCTACCTTTCTACACATGTCCCTTCGTCTCGGGGCCTACTGTGGATTTTGACGTTTCTGCTGGGTTGCATTGTTGCATTAGGTTTAGGCTTTGCCCGCTACCCCTTCCCAAAGGGAAGGGGTGCCACAGTTTTGAGAGCTGTTGAAGCCGGATGAGGACTGTGTAGCTTACAAGCTCGGAGAGAAACATGGCAATCCCAAACAGGGGGCTTTGAAGTCTAGCTGCAAGGATCGGTACATGTGACAGTCCTGTTTGTGTAGCTCCGCTTCGTACAGCAAGCCTTAAACGCCCAAACCTTGGACTGCGGCCTGGAAGATCCCATAACTGCTTTGCATGAGCTCCTCTTGAGAGAGCCTTTCAGCGTAAACCCTAAACTTAAACTCTATCATAAACCCTAAACCAGGGGTTGTTTGGTGGACTTGGACAGCATGATCCCCCGGACAGTGCATCAAGACCGATAGCCTCAGAAGAGGCTTCTTCCCGACTGAAGCCATCCATCTCCCCTAACGGCAGAAGCCTAATACTAGCCTATAGTACCCCTTAAGTAGATAGAATATGGTTTTGGGTATATTATGGTAAGATCTCCATATTCTTTCTATTTAAGGGGGACTGTAACCCCTAAACCCTAGTCCCAAATCTCAACTCCTAAAACCTAAGCCGCGTGATCTTTCGGCTTCGGCAGCTCTAATCTTCAAGCGTATGTCCACGCTGCGTGGAGCGATGGACATCTACGCTCACCTCCTTTTGCGGTCTGCTTGAGATTTGCTTTTCCTAAGTTTGCTAGGTTTGGGGCGCCGCGCCTACCCAGAATTAGGTTCATGTACTAGAGCTGCCTATAACCCTTGTCCTAAGTTTGAGATTTTCGATACACTGCAGGTGAGAAGATGTAGGCTACGGATTTCTGCCCTCTTTGTGATTGAGGTGTATAGGGTTAAGGGTTTAGGGTTTATGGTTCTTGTTTGTGATCAGGTGGGGCCTTTTTTTAAGAATATGTTTGAGTCTATATTGGTGTCCCCCTACTTTGGGAAACTACTAGGTGTATACGTGCCGCTGAGAATTTCCAAATTGATCCAGTTGTGTGTCCCAGCATCAACCAATAAAGATGGATTTGGTTGACGATACTCCGATCCCTTCTATGCCGCATTCCACGCTCTGCTCTGTTCTGTGCCACGTTCTGTCAGTGTTCCATTCGAACATGCTTTATGTGGTGGCCTGACCCCTAGAGGTTGACCTCAAATTCAAGCTTGCAATCGCTTTCATCTCTTCGTACTACCATCATTATTTTCCTGCAAAACTTCCACCAAAGCCTTCAGCCCAACCCCAAAGCTCAGAGCCGTAAACCCCTAGCCTAGCCGAATGCCAAAAACCCCCAGTCCCAAGACCCAAGCTCAGCAGCCTACCCTTCCCAACCCCCAAGCCCAAAGCTCCTGACACCCTCCAAGGGCTTAGGGTTTAGGGTTTAGGGCTTAGGGAACCCGAAGCCCTAAACCATAAACCCCTAAACCTTGAATCCCTAGCCCCATCCCGACAATCCTAAACCCTAAACCTTAGATCCTCAACCCTAAGCCTTCAGACCTAAATCAAACTCCCCAAAAGGGGCCTATCTCAAGAACCGCCTCTTACTCTCGGCTGTAAGCCTCGGGACGGTTTGCCACGGAGCGCCAGCCGTCCCAGGTGAACTGGTAGTCTTCAGACCTGATGTTGGTAGGGTTTTAGGGTTTTAGTGGGTTAGGGTCTTAGGGGTTCAGGGCTTTAGTGGTTTAGGGTTTTAGGGCTTTAGGGATTTAGGGGTTTAGGGTGTTAGGGCTTTAGGGTTTTAGGGTTTTAGGGTTTTCGGGTTTAGGGTTTAGGGTTGAGGGTTTGTTGTTTAGGGTTTAGGGATTAGAGTTTAGGGGTTTAGGGATGAGTGATTTGGGGGTTTAGGGACGTGGGGGTTAAGGATTTACTTGTAACCTCAGGTGCTCACAGTTTTATGGGTTATACTTCTAATTTGCGCAGTACTTACTACCAAGCTGTAGGCAATTGGGGTGTCAGGTAGGCTCTACGGTCTTGAGACTAGGGATTAGGGTTGAGTGATTCAGTGTTTGCGCTTTACAGGGGGTCCTACCGAGTTTCATGTTGAGTGTGTAGGGGCTACATGCGGCCTTTCCAAGGCTTAGGTTCCAGGGACCCTAAACTTAAGCTTTACACCTTAATAAGCTCGAAAGAATCCAGCAACCCTAAACCTTGAACCCTAATACCGAAAACCTAATCTCCTTTTGGTGCCTGTGTACCGTGATTGCCAGGAAGCCGAACAGAGCATTCGACTCGAATGCTGGATTTAAGCTCTGTGCTGTGCAATGGCAAAAAGGAGTGAAACTAAAATGCCAGCATGGATGCCAGACCATAGTCTAAACTCCTAATATCCCCTTCGGTAGCCCCTATAATTGTAAACGCTAGCGCGCGCCCGCCTCGGCTGGCGGGGCTTCCCACTGTAGGAACATGTAATTATAGATATACAGGTATTAAAGTTAGGTATATAGATACAGACACATGCCTATTACATACACAATAAAACCCTAGAAGTCCAACTGGGGACGCGCAAGTAGGACCCAGGAAACCGGTGGGAAAATGTTCGGGGCCAGCGTTCGGACCTTGGGTTTAGGCTTCCGTCT